TCCCTAAAGTTCAAAGTTCCACAGATCTCCAGGGCAGGGGCAAAATGCCACTGCTAAAACATAACAAGAATCACCTTTACTCCAGTTCCCAACAAGTTCCTCATCTCCATCTGAGACCACTTTCACCTGGATTTCATTGTCTATGTCATTATCAGCATTTTGGTCAAAGCCATTCAACAAGCCTCTAGGAAGTTCCAAACTTTCCCACATTTTCCTGTCTTCTTCTGACCCCTCCAAACTGTTCCAACTTCTGCCTGTTACCCAGTTCCAAAGTCGCTTCCACATTTTTGGGTATCTTCACAGCAGCACCCCCTCTACTGGTACCCATTTACATTATTAGTCTGTTCTCAGGGTGCTAATAAAGACATACCTGAGGCTGGGTAATTTATAAAGGAAATAAAGAGGTTTAATGGACTCACAGTTCTACATGGCTGGGGAGGCCTCACAATCATGGTGGAAGATGAATGAGAAAAGTCATGTCTTACATGGCAGCAGGCATATACCCATGTACATCTCTATCTATCTATCTATCTGTCTGTCTGTCTGTCTGTCTGTCTATCTATCTATCTATCTATCTATCTATCTATCTATCTATCTATCTATCTATCTGCCTATCTAGCAATCTAGTTTACTCCAATTCCTATAATTCTAACACAATACTGCGTAATTTATTCCATTTTCCCTCCTTTTTCATATTTGTAACTCCTTCCTTTGACAGTGAGAAACTTTGCTCTCATTATCCAATATTTACTAATTTGTTCAACCACAGAATACAAAGTAAGTATTTCAGAATTGCTAATACACATGTCTATGAAAAAGAAGTCTATTCAATATTTGTTTATAGTTCTTTTTGACTTTAGCCTGATGGCATCTAGTCCAAATCTACTACAAAAGTTTCTTGAATTAATTCCCTTTCTGCCCCTTCTGCCCATAAACTTTAATTCATCCCCTCTCTGTTTGGCTCCATAACTCATTCCTGTCCTTGTCACCCCTGGTTTTTCAAGTCCAGAACCTCTCAGGGGTCTCAAAGCTGGTGAACTCCCTCTCTAGGTGTCGTCTAGGGCTAGGCCGAAGCTTCCTTCTCCCTGCCTCATTAGGCGCCTCTCTTCCATGCTCTTCCCAGTTTCCATGCCTGCCCTCTCCCTCCATTCTTTTGTAAGAATTTATTCCTTTTTAAGGAGTTCTTTGCTATCATTTTAATGGGATTGTGGGACAGGGAGAGACACCTGTGTCTCTCAAAGTCATTAGTCTCAAACCTGACACCCAGGAATTCTAAAGTCAGAGAGATCTGGGTTTATGCCCTGCAAGACATCGGCAGGCATCTTGACCGCCCTGCATCTCAGTTTCCCCATCTAGGACATAAGGGTGAGAAGCTCCGCACCACATGGATTTGGTGAGGATGAACTCTACCATATATGTAAGGTGGCTGACAGTGCTGGGCACCATGTTCAGTATATAAAGTGGCTGATGGTGCCGGGCACCATGTTCAGTAAATGATACCTGTCATTGTTGCCTGGATGCAATTCCTGCAGATGTGGTCTCTTATTTGCTCACTCACTCATCCAAGGCTGAGTGCTGAGCATATCACAGAGTTCCTGTCTAAAAGGGGTAGGGAAGTCAAAACACCCAGTGAAGCCAACCAGCAAGCGGTTGCAGAGCTGGCAGCATTCTTGGCAAGAAGCTGTTTTTCCTTGCTTGGCTCCCCTTGGTTCCAGGATGTGCCTTTTGCCCGAGACTCTAAAACTTCTTCCCTGGCCTTGGACTAAATGGCCTGTTGGGAGAGCCTCCCCGAGCTATGTGCCAGTGTGCCTCTGCTGGGCCCCTGCTTTTAGGCGGAGGACACATGACTGTCTCTGATGGGAATGAGTGAGGAGCTGAAGATTTTGGTAGAGCGAGGCCAAATCCCTGTGTGGCTCCAGGAACAAGGATAAATATAGCCAGAGTAATTGCTCATGCTCTTTTAAGGATTAAAAGTCAGCTTTTGGGCAAGCTGTGAAGCTCCATGATAGCAAGGGACACAGTTCCTTTTTTAGAATTGTGGTCAGCACTCCTTCTGCATTGCTGGATCCCAGGCTTCCATGATGCTATTCCCACTGGAGTTAAGGGATCGCCTTTACTAGTCTACCTGACACGAGGGAGGGATGGGTCTGAGGAGTTCCTGCCACATCCCCTTGTCCAACATGATGTCTGGCGCACTAAAGGTGCCCAATAAGTATTTTTAAATGGATGAGTGAGCTGTGAGAAATTTATGCTTTTAAAAATAACCTTTAGGATACGATCTGTAGTCTAGTTAACAGTAGCATCCCAGTGCCAATTTCCTGGCTTTGAAATATACTGTACAACACTGATGTAAGATGTCTCCGTTGGGGAAGCTGGGTAAACGGTATGTAGGACTCTTTGTACTATTTTTGTAACTTCCTGTGTATTTATAATTATTCCAAAGTAAGAAATAAAAAAAATTATAATAACCTTTAGTCAGGATCATGCCAATACCCTTTGACACTTGGGGGAAGCAGTGCTGGAAGATGAAGTGAGTAAATCCCTGTTTATAGCAATGCTTTTATTTTATTATTATTTGTGAATGTAAACACGTTTTCTCATACAATTCAAAACTTTAAATGTATCAATAAGGCGTACCATGGTCAGTCTTTACCCCGGTTACTTAGTTTTACTCCCCATTGGCAACTAATCTAAATGTTATTCATTTCTCGTGCTAATTTTAGAGATGATATGCATACTCACATATGAACTTGTATGTATACATGAACATAAGTGTATATATGTATTTGTGTGTATATATGTACATATTAAAATACATACACACACACTCTTTTTCATTCAAATAGTAGCATTTGATAGACACTGTTATTTTACTTTTTCTACTTAATGTATCTTGGAGTCTTTTCAGGTCAGTACACCAAGAGCTTCCTTGACCTTTGTTGTGGCTGCACTCCATCTTCTTTTATGGCCCCAGTTGCTAGACATTTATGTTGTTTCCAATCCTTTTGCTTTTGTAAATAACGCTGCAATGAATAACCTTGTTCATTTGTCGTTTCCCAAGTGTGGGAGTGTGTTTATAGAATAAATTCCTAGAAGTGGAATCGGGTCAAAGGGTATAATCTTGATAGTGCTAAGTTATCCTCTATAGAACTTGTTCCATTTTTACACACTGACCAGTCATGTGTTTTATAAAATGGTATCATTAATGCAATGATTAAAAAGTTATTTGGTGATACCTTTGTGTGGTGAATGCTGTGGGTCTTTACCCAAGAGAAACACAAACCACATAGTGGCTTACATGCAATGTCAGTTGGCTCAGAGATCCCTCAAGGTCATCCATGAACCCTGGGTTCAGAAACCCTGGCTGAAGGGTAGGCAGCATGATAAAGAGGACAGAGATTTAGGGATAGACCACCTGAATTCACATCTCAGCACTGTCACTTACTTACTGGCTGCGGAACATCAAGCAAGTTGTTTTACTTCTTCCAGCCTCGGTTTCCTTTAAAGGAAAGGCATAGGTACTTGTGAGGATACATAGAGTGCTTTTATGTAAAGCATCTAATCTAATGCTAGGAATATAGTAGGTGCTCAATACAATATATGATTTTGAACTCTCTCTCTCTCACACACACACACATACACACACACACACAGAGCCAGCCCTAGGTTCCATTTCAACTTCTGATTTTGATTGTCCCTGTAGTACCTGCTGCTGGACTCATAAGATCAACCTTTGAAGCAACATTCCCTAAAGTGGGATCCTTGGACCAAGTGCATAAGAATCACCCAAGGGTCTTCACTAAAATGCAGATTTCTGGGTCCATTTCAGATCCATAGAATTAGAATTTCTGAAAGAGGAGCCCAAGGAGCTTCAAAACTGGGGGTTCTAATGCACATTGAAGTTGGAGAAACAGCACTGAAGAGTTTGGTCGGTTCCTTCTATACCATATACTTGCAATTCTAGTAGTTACTGCCATGTGGCTTTGCAGGGGACGGGGGTTGTGTGGGGAGCCTGCACCTCCACGTGGACAGGTGTGGACACTTGAGAGAAAGCTTGGCTACTACCTAAGACAGCCTGCTCTGGTTTCATTTACGAAAAACAATTATTGATGAGGGTAGCAGACTTCATGCGCTACACCCCTGTTAGTGATCTCTCTTACAACAACTACACAGAAAAAACAGGACTTCCTCAGAACCACATGCCTGAGGAAGGGATGGAGGCTCAGTGGGCCAGGCTCAGTGGAGAACGTCTGCCACTGCTGCACCACTGATCTGTGGCCAGGAGCTGAGCATAAGGACTGTGTTTGCCAGGATGGCTTGAGGCCATAGGCCTTGGAGCTCCAATCCCTAGTGCTCTCTACCATGAATACTGAATGTTCTCTAGATGGCTAATGATGGCCAAAACTAGGGTTCCGGGATTTATCAAACAAAAATAGAGGATGACTAGTTAAATTTGAATTTCAGATAAATAACGGTCTTTTAGTACAAGTATGTCCCATGTTTATCTGAAATCCAAATTTAAATGGGTGTCCTGTAATTTATCTAGCAACTTTACCTAGGGTTTCTCTGTGCCGCTCTAACCACAGAAGGGGCTGAAGTCCCCATGTAGCTTGCCGCCAGCTTGGAGTTCCATGACCCTGGTCTTGGGCGGGTCCTATACCCAAGGCAGGTGAAGAGTGTGTATGGACAGGGTGTGGATTTCCTGGGCAGGGGCAGGAAGCTCATTCGTGCTGATCTAGCTCTATGAGATGCTGGCAGTGTGTTAAACACTTGACTAATATCTCATTTAATCCCCTGACTACCCAGTGAGTTAGGCATTATCATTATTATTCCCACTTTAGAGATGAGGAGACTGAGGCTCCACGATGTTAAGACCACAGGCTGTTAAGTGGAGGAGCAGGGTTGACACCCCTGGGGCCTGTGCCAAGTCTGGTAAGTCTGGGAGTAGCTGAATCTCCCAGGCCATTCTCTCTGGCAATCCCAAGAGTTTAACGCAGTGGAAGCAGCCCCTGCCCCCAAATCCCCAGGACAGGAACCATTCCCAGTTTCTTTTGGCGCTGGCCCAGGGTCTTCTCCAGGCTCACATGCTTGCTGGAGGCTCCAGGCGGGTGGCGAGTTCTGCAGGGTCCCTTTGTCGCCGTCCAGCCAGGACAGTGTCCAGTGGCATGAGTTGCCATGGGGACTGCCATCTGCTGTGTGGATACCCATCGGAAGGGCCCAGGGTGAGCGACTGCCCCAAAGGCCCAGCCTGCCCTGAACCCTGAGGCCAGCTGGTCGGCTTTCCCTGCCATTATGCCCCGAGCCAGGCCGGAGGGGGCTCCCAGAGGAGCTCTCGGCTCTAAGTCCCAGCCCCTCTCAGAGGAGGCGTGCGGCCGAGGTTCTACAGCCAGAGGCTTCTCGGCTCCGAGCTCCGGAGCCAGATGTAACATTGACCTTAAATGGTAAAAGCTCCCCAGAGTGAAGGGAGGCTGGCCAGAGGAGGAAAGGAGAATAACTCAGTTTTAGGTAAGCCTCCCCTATATCCTAGAATAACCTGCCTCTTCGGCTGGGAAGCAGAGGGAATCTTCTCCTCCTTAAAGGTACAGGGTGCTGGGATGGGGGCGCTAAACTTTAACTTTCCAGGGGAGCTGGCTTTCTTGGGTGGCATTTCAGCTGAGTATCTTTATTGTTGCTGTCTTAAGTTTTAAATCAGAAGTGAATCTTGCCAGTCCTAACTTAACTAGATTGTGCTCCTTTTGCTTGCTGTTGGAAAGTGTGCACAGCTCAGGGTGAAAATGTGGGTCGTGACAGGCGATTGCAACCCGTAGCTTTCCTGTGGGCCCGTTTGTGGCAACAATGGGGTCTTCAGCTTAGGCAAGTCTGCTAGGCAGGGCTTTCTCCCCTCTGTGCTTCCCATGTCTCTCTCTCTCTGTCCCCCTACGCCCCTCTGCCTTGAACCTGGGCAGCATGACCTGTCTAGATCCTTAACCCTGCCCCTATTTCTGTCTCTGCCCTTCCCATCCTATGTTCTGGTCACAGCCCCTGTTTTTATCTCTGTCCCTGTCTCCTCTTTTGTCTCCAGCTTCCCCTGGCCTGTGCAGTTCCCCGCTCCCTAGAGGGGGTGTATGTGCCCGGCTCATGCCTGGCCCTGCTCTCCTCCAGGGCTCCGAGTTGAAGCGATTCCTAGAGTGAGCAGCATTTGGACTGGCTTTTTCCAGAGGAAAAGCCAGTGGAAGCCAGAGGCCAGAGAGAGGCCCAGCTGTCTTGCTCCCTCCTGCCCAGGAAACAGTTGTAAAGGCTATAGAGGCTCTGCAGTTTGAGTAAACAGCAGCCCGGGGTCTGGGACCCCTGGCCAGCGCTCCAGCCTCCCAGAACTCAGCAGCTGTTGTTTCCTAACACTTTTCAGGCTGCTCACCGAGGTGGCGCAGGGAAGTAAAGCTGGTCTGAGCAGGGTCTTTTGCAGGGAAAAGGAGGAAGCTTCCCGGGACTGTGAGGCTGGGGGGTCCAAAGGAGTCAGGACTTGCCAAGGATTGTGTTGCCCCCACAGAGGGACAATGACATGCTAGTGAGGCAGGTGGAGTTGCCCATCCCCCTGCACTCCCCTACCCCAACACTTCTATGGGGGAGGGAACTCAGGTTAAGTCACTTGCCTAAGGTCATTCTACCAAGATGGAGTGGTGCTAGGACTCAAACCCAGGTCTGTATGACTCTAACTCCAGTGCCCGTGCCTCTCAACACAGCCGTGAATGCCAGGGTATGATCCTACTTCCAACTGTGTCTTGCAATTTTTGACCTAATGGAGAAAACCATTGTCATTATCATGTTTGTGCCATCAATGATTCCATTGTGTGTGTGTGTGTGTGTGTGTGTGTGTGTGTTTGTGCGCGCGCGCGCATGCATGTTTGGTGGGTGGCTGTTTATGTTCACAGCAGATGTACCTATCTTTATGCTTGGAGGTAAGGGAGGCATTCCTGTGTCCTTTATCATCTTGGAAGGATAACCATGTGCTAGCTGCTACGACATGATTGGTTATCCCCATAAATGTGTTTCCGCAAGAAAATAAACACATGGTTCTTACTGTGTATTGAACACTGTTCCCCTTCCCATACAGTAACTCATGACTCCCACAGCTCTACAAAGCAGGAGTCATTCTTTCCACCCTGGTTTTGTAGAGGACACTTTAGCACAGAGAGGCTGCACAGCTGGTGCTCGGCCCCAGGTTGTGGTCTCCGCAGGCTCTTGACCTCCATGGTCAGCTCCCCTCTGCTTGGGACCTCGTGTCAGAGTGCAGCGGGGGAATCACTGGCCCCCTTGCAACACGGTGCATCTGAGGCTTTCCACAAGGGACTTTGCATGCCCCTCACAGAATGCCATGAGGGGTGTGTCTTTACCTCACTGCTCCAGGTGAGGACACTGGGGCTAGGGGATGTTAAATGACTCGTCCAAGCTCACCCAGCCACCAAGTGACAAAACAGGGAATTTAAATAGTATCTTGGGTAGGGAAGTTACGGCCATGTGAAACTTACTTGAAACTGAATCCCTGGGAGGCTGAGAGGGCTCATGGTTTGGGGATGAGGAGTTCTGTGGGTCTGTGTAAGGAAGCTAGGTTCCTTGCCCGATGGGCTGAACTATACATGATGGGTCCTCAGCTTTCTAAAAAGCCCTGCGTCTCTCCTCTAAGCCTTTGTAACAGAGGTGGGCAGAAGCACCCCACACCTCCTGGAGGAGCAGACTGAGCCCTGCAAGGGCAGAGACCTTATCCTGTTCCTCACCCGCTATGTGTCTAGCACCAAGAATGATGCTGGGAGCACACAAAGTACTCAGGTTCAACCACGTTTCTGTGAACACATGGACACAATGCTCATAAAGTGGGTTCTGGTTATACAGGGCCCCAGGGTGATTTTGTACATGTGCCTGATGATCAGATTCATCTAGTTTGACTTGAGAGAATACAATGTCGGGGCCTGAAGTTACCCATCTCTCTCCCCCTGCCTCCTCTCCTGGGTCACCTCACAGAGCCTGGACTGCCCCTCAGCCACTTTCTCTGGGGCTTATTATCAGCAGAGGAATTCTGTTTGCTGACTGAGTAGATGCAGAGGCCTGGGTAGATAGGGAGAAGAGAGCTTGGGGTCCCTAGACTCTGGCCCTGCCCCTGCCCCTTGGGGAGCTGAGTCAGAAGAGGGAGATGGAGAGCTGAGTTCTCAGATAGTGATACAAAAGGAAAGAGGGGAGAAAACTGGTATTAACTGAGCTCCTACTTTGTGCCAGGATCTGTGCTAGATCTGTTATTTAATTTAAGCCTCATGTTAGAGATGAGGAGAGAAGCATACAGCCAGTAGGTGGTAGACTCCAGCTCAAGCCACCTTGGTCCGAAGTGGGTACTTCCTGCATTAGATGTCACCTTGCCTCCAGTTAGTAACTTAGGTCCTGGGGCAGTTATTGAGTGTCACAGTCCAAATCATGGGAAAATCATGAATAGAGGGAAAGGGGATATCATGTTAGTCCTGTGGACCTTGGAGGCTAGACTCTGAGTTCAGGTGACAGTCCAGGGAAGCCTCATCAATGGGCCTTCAAATTCAGAGTCTTAGCAGAGGCAGCCCATGCCCGTGACCCTGGACAAGCCCTGCCTTCTCTGCAAGGACTTTCTCCAGGGGAGGTGGAAAGCAGAGGACAGTTGTTCAGACAGGAAACTTGTTTTTTTTTTGGAGACAGAGTCTCGCTCTGTCAACCAGACTGGAGTGCAGTGGTGTAACCACCACCTCCCAGGTTCAATCGATTCTCATTCCTCAGCCTCCCAAGTAGCTGGGATTACAGGGAGTACCACCATGCCTGGCTAATTTTTACATTTTTAGTAAAGTTGGAGTTTTGCCATGTTGCCCAGGCTGGTCTTGAACTCCTGATCTCAAGTGATCAGCCCACCTCAGCCTCCCAAAGTCTGGGATTATAGGCATGAGCCACTGCACCTGGCCAGACTGAAAACTTTTCCTAGCAGGGAACAGATGTAAAAAAAGTCTGCTAAGGCTGGGCTTAATCAGCTCTGGTTACTTTCTTCCTATTACTTTTTTATTTGTAATTTGTAATTTTTATTCAGTTTTTTCTAGTAAAAAAAGTAATGCATGTTCTTTGCCAGACTTTCTTGGAAAATACAGAAATGGATATAAATAAGAAATTCAGAAATAAATATAAAGAAATAAAAAAACCCTCTAGAATCCCATTCCTCAGTGATAAGTATTGTTTATATTATGGTGTGTTTCTTTCTTTACATTTCTCTATATTTTGTAAAACTAGGGTCTTAGTGTATATATTATTTTTTAGTCTGCTTTTTACAACTGAGCATTCTAATATAATCCTTTTTTCCATACCATTGAAGATTCTCCAAAACATGATTTTTCAATGGTTTTATAACATAGAGTCATTTTAGCAGTGCAGCAATTTAATCACCGTTCCTCTTCTTGGCATTTACAAATGTAATTTTTCTTTGGGGACTTTCTCAGTAGCACATGTGACGTGACGGCTTTTCCATAGATTTATAGCATTTGGAGACTTAGCTCTCAGAGGTGGGTTTGTGTGGTGTGGGCTTGCTCTGCAAGATGATTGTATGTGGGATACGGACCCAGCCTTAAACACACAACATCACATTGTAAGAACATTATTCCTTCTTAAGTTCTTTTTATTCCTTTAAATGAAGGAGAGAAAGCCTCTATTTGAGGTAGGGTGACCAACCGTCCAGGGCCACCCAGGAATGAGAGTTGCTGCAGGACCTTCAGTGCTAAAATTGGCACAGGTCCTGGACAAATCCAAAAGGTTGATCACCCTCATTTAAGCCTCATATGCCTTCAACATCTTTCTGTTTGTTTCCTTTCTTGACAAAATGAGAGCAGGCCTTACCTAAGGTTTAATAACTGTTTTCATTTTATTTATTTTTATAACTCTATTTGTGGTAAGTGGTATTGCTTTATCCATTTAAGGTAGGAATATGAAGTTTCCCTTTTAAATAAAAGTAATGACAATGGTAGCTAACACTTGTTGAGTGTGTGCCATGTGCTAGGCACTTTCCTAATGCTTTACCTGCAGTCGCTCATTTAGTCCTCACAGCAACCCTCTGAAGTAGTTACTGTCATTGTCCTCCTTATACAGATCAGGAAACTGGGGCACAGAGAGGGTAAGAAACGTGCCTAACAATACAAAGTTAGTAAATGGCCAAGTGGGGTTTCGGTCTTCATTTTCTGGCCCATTGCTCCTTAAATGAAAGAATATTAAGTAAATAAATGCATAAGTGAAACACAGACATGGCAAAAATTGTGAGCATGGTGTATGAATGAGTCAGGTCATTCCACCACAGCTTGGTGGAAATCGGGTTGTATGAACTGGGTGGAATCCCGGTATTGGTGAGTGCAGGGTGTTGGGGAAGTTGAGTCGTCCCAGCAAAACCAACAGGAATTTAGGAACCAATGGGCTCAGTGAGAGAGGCTGGGAGGGATGAGACTATACACTGCACACAGCCTGGCTCTAGGGGTGGGATGTGG